AACGACCATATCTGTACAATAAAAGGTATAATTTTATGTAGAAATTATGTACATGATAATCATTAATATCCTCCCCATACATTGCTAGTCTTTATGATAGCAGAATGACCCAACAACAATTGTTTTGAAAAAAAATTGGCTCACAAAGAAAATTTGAACTTCAATGATTTACTGTTTTTTTTTTTTGACGTCATGTATCATAAGCACACGTGAGGTGTTCAGTGAAGTTCACAACTGTACATGTAAGTTTCTGGTTGGAGTAGACTTTTGCCTTTATCTTTATGAAATTTTAGTTATTATATTTAGTTGGTATGGCTTAAGCATTTTTAGTACAAATACAATTAACCAAATTAGCCCCCTTGACAATGAAGCTTAGGAACAACATGACTGAACTTTGAACTCAAAGTGTTGAAATATCGTGAGGCATGAAGAAATGATTTTACCTTGTATAGACATGATGCAAATTTGCTGTCCAGTCAGTTCCAAAGATTACATCAAATATGTCTGAAACACAAAGTTCAACATTAATTGAACTTACAATGTTAAATGGCAGGCAAAGCAAGAGCTGTACAGACACTGGGAGTGAACAAACATTACACTGTACTTTATGAGTGTCTAGACGTAAAACTAAAACATTGATTTTAAAAGTTACAGAACAAAATGTCAAGCTTGATATTAACTTTGTAGCTGTACTGAAAGATTTTTGTAGTTTGCTGACATGCTAACAATCAGAATCTAAAGAAAACTGGCAGCTTACCTTTGCCCAAAACAGGAATGGTTTCCTTGCCTGCCTGCCTGAATCATGGCGGCTTTGGGGCAAAGTCCCTTTTTGTCACTACCACTAGTAACAGTTCTAATTGTTTACTCTAACTTGTTGAATACTGACGTCATGGTTTTCTGGCTACAGACCTTAATTTTATGATATACCTGTTAAGTTTGGAGTTTTGTCTCAACCCTGACTGCTGAATACTAATAATATTTTTCTCAAATGTACTATATTATCTTTTTTTTGTGAAAGATACTTACTAGATAGTTTGAGTTTGTATGCTAGTGTGTTTATTATAACTTGGCAGTTATTATGTTATAGTTTCATGTTTATTTTGAAAGGAATCATACAATAAAAAAGTTATTTCAAGTCTTTATTTGACAACCTCCAAATAGTAAAAAACATATTTAAAGCTTCAAATGCATAACTTGGTTTTTGACATTGCAAAATCTGAAACATGTAGTCAAACACACAGGACTTGTCAGCTCAAGATGTATTTCATTCTCCTCTCTATTGTTGCTGCAAATCCAATAATTATTACAGAACATTTCTTGACTTACTAGTACTTAAGGTACATTTGTAGCTTTAAATCTTTGTGACATATTTAGTTGTAGAACACTATTTGTTTAATGATCAGAAGATGATACAAAATGCGTTGAACTTTTTAGTTTCTGTGTGGAATGTACAGCAAAATTACTTCTATCTGGATGTATTTGGTGGAATAATGGACAAGAATCCTGTGAACACAACTCAAGTTGTAAAATAATCTTTGTCCTGTATGATACAACACTAATCCTGTGTCCAGACTGATACAGTATCCAAGGCATTAGTCATGACCACATCTCCACCTGGTGACACAGTAACCCCATAGGGACTCTTTATACCACTTCCAATGTAAGACAGAAATCTGCCCTGACTGTCAAACATTTTCACACAATGATTTCCACAGTCAGCCACAATGATGTTTCCCTTCCCATCAACACAAATGCCCCAAGGATATTTCAGCTGACTTTCATCAGATCCCTTACTCCCAAACTTGAACTTGAAGTTCCCCTCTCTGTCCAAGACATGGACACAGTGATTGCTGATATCAGTGACCAGAATGTTCCCCTCCCCATCCACAGTGACATATCGTGGACACCAAGGCTTTGGTGACCTATGACCTGAACCATATGTCCCCACCTCAGAACCATCTTGGTTAAACACTCGAAGTCGACCATTCTGCCCATCATACTCTGTAACAATCACCTGTTCTGTTGCCATAGCTACAGTTTTACCCCGGAAGTATATAACTTGTGGCAGATCTATTGTGGCCAAACAGGTGCCTTCCCTGGAATACTGCACTACATGTTTATCACTCACCACCCACAGGTTGTCATTTCTATCTACAGCAACATCCTGTGGTTTTAACTTTTTACCAGTTTCCCCTGGCAGAGTTGTTGTGAACTCTCTGATATAAACACCATCCATTGTGAACACCTGGATTATGGTGTTATAACAATCAGCAATGTAAACCTCATTGTCTTGTGAGACAGCTACTCCATAAGGACAGCGAAATTTCCCCCTACCTGATCCAAATCCCCCAAACCTGACTTTCCTCACCCATGGTTGTCCCACCCTGATTGGTCTGACATTTGTACCTTTAACTTTCCCTCTAGGCTGAACCACTGACTGTTTGACTTGTCCTGTTGCTGTGGGCTTATCTGTTGAATGTTTGTCTGACATGGCTAAATCTACTGGATCTTTCTGCTGACTTCCACCCTCCACTGGTTGCTTGGCAGTTAGCAGCTTCTCATTTCTGGCCTCCATTTCCTTCATGGCCTCCTGAAGTTGCTGTATTTTCTCATTCATTTGTGTCTTTTGTTCCAGGAGGATTGTCTCTGCTTTCTCATTTTTCTCTCTCAGCATCTTTACCTCCCTCATCATGGCATCTACTCCAATCCTACCTGTCTCCACCTGCCTCTGCATCATCTCAAGCTGAACTTTCACCTCTTGTTTGGATTTCTCTCTAGTTGTTCGTACGACTGACTGTACTTGTCTGTACACCACGGTGATGTCATCGGTCCTGTCACAGGGCTGGTTCTCTCGACCAATCACAGCCAGGTCTCGGTTCTCTCGACCAATCACAGACAGGTTTCGGTCCTCTTGACCAATCACAGCCAGGTTTCGGTCCCCTTGACCAATCACAGCCAGGTCTAGGCCTCTCAGGCTGGAATGGTCCACATGTCTGCTGGGGGATGGCAGGGTCAGCAGGTTGTCGGCAGAAGTGGTACGGTCCAGTCCTGTTTATTAGGAATAATGCAGTCAGTACTAATGTCATATGTTTGAGACCATATTAAAATGTTACTGTTATATACAATTTGCCATAACTTGGCAGTTCTCTTGAAATATCTAGACAAATAAAATGAAACTATACGTTGTACATGTGGTTCTCACCTTGCCCCAGTCTGTCTCGTACTCGCACATAGTCTTCATGCTTCACGTGGAGCCTCACGATCAGCTGGGCACCCTTGACCTTGTCCTGTAGGTCGTCTGAGATGAGGATGTGTGAGAGTTGTTGAGACAGGGTTCCCTCCCCCACCCTGTAGTGGTTGTGGTAGAACCTGTCCACATCAGTCTGGCGCAGGAACGTCAGGAGGAGGAGGATCGACCCTGGTAAAGAATCCTCCAACAAAGCTTTGTGGGATAGGAAGATTTCTCTCGTTTTCTTGTAGCGTCTGCGGTCTTTTAGCACATCTTCAGTGAACATTGTTCTCTCTAGTTCCAGAAGCCGTTTTGAGACCAGGGCATCGATGTCCCCAGCCTGCCCTCCTGCAGTAGTTGGTGATTGCACTGCGCCCAAGTTTAGATGTACAGGAAGGTTTGGAAACGGTGGAAATCTGCTCGTCTGTGTCTTTTGCTTTTCATTTAGCTCTGTTGAGAAAGGTACAAAATAATGCATATTTTCAATGACATCACGGAGTATCTGATGAACGAGGTAAATTCTCAGACTTGATACAATTCCTTGTCTTTAAAACTATAGATTGCCATGTAGCTGAAGATGAACAAATTAAAGAGAAACATAGTACATTTCAAGTGATTTTGAAAAGGGTCGTACCAGGATATTTGTCCTTCAGACTGTCCACAACATGTTGTAGCTCTGCCTCTTGTAGTGCCTCCATCAGCACATGTATGGTGGCCGCGTTTCCCTCCCGTTTGTACCATTGCTGTAACAGTTCCATACACCGAGACTTGTCGTCGTGTTGTTCACCGTTAATGTTTTTTATGTCTGGTGAGTCAAACCCAAGACACCAAGCCAGGTCCTTCCAGTCTGAGCTCACCTGCTTCTTTATGAAGAGGAAATACTTCTTAACACCTGCAAGAAAACGCACAGCATGGCTGGGGAGTCCAGCTATCCCCTCAGTAGGCAAAGTCACAGGTTGGCCACAGTCTGGGCACCTAAACGGATCTACTCTTTCTGCCCTTTCACAAGTCTCTAACCATTGTCCATGAAAAACCTCCAAACATTCCTGGCAAAAGTAGTGGTGACAAGGCAGGATCTTGGGCCTTGTGTAAGGTTTCTTGCAGATGTTACAGGAAAGAGATTGGATCCTATGTTGGTATGCAGTAGAGTGAAGACTTTGGGACGCCATTTTCAGTGCTTAAGAAATAGAGCCCAGTAGTTTGCCTCTGCCAATACAAAGTTCATTCTACCATCATGTGACCACTTGTATGTTTGAAATGTCTGTTAATCATTCGTTTATTCATTGATTACTACCTACTTGGTTTGAATGAAAGATGCTACTGTAGGGTACACAGAATCTAGATTTGTCTTCGTTGCAGCAGAAATGGTCTTCATAATGAATCAGATTCTGTACATTATTAAAAAAAAGAAGGAATGAAATTCAATGTGAAATGACAATCATGTTTGAAATAATTTCATGCTACTCTGCTACATTTTGTACCTTCCCTAGGTGCCTTCCCCAATAGTTCCCAAATCTAAAAAGTTTTAACACCAATCATACTGGAGTATATTTCAGAGATATATACCAGTAAAATTTGACATGACTCTGGGTTTTAACTTGTTGAATTTTCTTTTTTATTGCAGTATTCATTGAATAATGATATTTAGTTAATAATGCTCTCAAAATTGCATCAAAAGTGTCTTCTTACCACCCCCTTTTTGAATGGTATGGTCCGTAGTTCACACCCTAACTTCAAGCCTTGAGTCTCATTATATATTCTTGATTGACAGGTGCTCTCGGCCAATAGGAACGGAGACATGACCCTGAAGGTGGAGACTGACCTGGCCTCGGTCACGACACTGTTCCGAGATCTGGAGACTCCCTCCTGGTGTGAGTAAAGTTGAATTATGCTTTGAGGAAGGTATTTAATAGGCTCATCAAATTACATCAAATTGTAAGTGAGAGGCATAATTACAGGTTGTGCAAAAGAAAACTCCACACTAGAAATGTAACATTTGCAAAGCAAATGCATAATCTTTACCTTCACTTAGTCTAGCCCTAGTTTAGTCTTACTCAAAGGCAAACACATTCATTATGGTGACCAGGCTCTCCAACTCTGTTCTGCTACATAATGTAACCCAACACCCCAGGGTGTCTGCTTCAACACCAGTTACAAGTTTGGTCCAGGTCATTATTTGTTTGGAGAAGAAGAAGAAAAGGAAGAAAAAACTCACATTAAATACATAAATATCCAAAAAAGGATTGTGTATCTGAGAAAACTATGTTGAATATAAAAAAGATTTTATATGTCTCCCCAGCGAGAGAAGAAGAGTCAGGCCTGTGTCCGAGTGACCGTGACCCTGAGGAGATGGCCGAGGCTCGTGTAGACATCAGGAAGTTCTCTCAGTTCCTGGTGGGGCAACAGGTCAACCCTGACAGGATCATATGCAGTAAATCTGTCAAATTAAATGGTTTTATTCAGAGGTTTATTGAGGAAAAACTCTCATTTAGCTGCCCACCTGAGGGTGACAGCTATTCTTCCAGGAGAGAGTACATAAAACATAACAGTTACTATACATTTGTTAGCCTGGTTACCAAACCTATTATTATAATAGCTCACTGACTCTTACATCCTCTATTTGCGGAGAGGATGTAGGACTCGGGAAAGTAGGTTATAGAATGGTAACCAGGCTAGTTTTTGTTGACTTCTTAGAGCCAGGAGTCGTTTAATGTTTTTCAGTGTATCCCAATAGTACTAGTATCATATGGAGTCAGTCCAAAGTTTGGGCAATGGCTTAAGACTGCAATTTTCTCTAACTTCTTACTTCTACATTTGACATCAATTATAATGTTCAACTTATTGAACTTGTAGTGTTACAGCATTTTTAACAGGAATGAAGGCTGTAAGCTGGTATTGTAATGGTCTTTTAATATCCAAACTGGCTGCCAAATAGATGAATTTCCAGACAGCAAACTCCTATGACAGCACAGAATTTAAACTCTTTGTGAGACGATGTGATTCTAACTAGTACATTTTTACTCTTTTATCACTGACAGACATTGTTGATGGGAACATTCTTCACTTCTTTGTTCTACATGAAGATTTGTCTCTTCAGTACTTCATTCCTACAGTTGCAGTTTGAGAAAGATATTGTAGCGGTAAGTTTTGTACAATTACATAACATCTTTGTTGAGCACTTTCATTTGTTGTGCAAGCATGTTAAGTTGATAAATTTGCTTTTGGTTATGACAATTTTTTTCCTTCACTCTAGCTGCAATTAATAACTTTTAGCTCATAAGTAATGTACAGAAAAACAACTAAATCAATTTATCTCTTTTTTATATTTTTTAATTCTCAAACTTGCCATTTCTATCCCACAGGTCTTACTTGGTGTGAGGATGTTGTCCACTCCTGACATATTCAGTACTTCAGTACAACTTCAGCAATTTTACATTTCCTGGTACCCTTACTGCACATCTAACTGTAATGTTGTTTAAAGCTACCGGTATCTAGTGATGATGCCCCTACTGTACTTCTAGAACAAACAAACAAGTTTATGAACACATCAATCCTTGGCTGATGACTCTGGTACTTGAAAGCAAGTTGTTTGATATTCTCATGACTGTCTCTGTGTATCAGTTTCATCTGAAACCTTCCCAGTCATCTGACCTCCAGTGTGGTTTAATAAAGACAAACCTGTAGAGACAGGAGTGCAGCCAACCTGAACGGGCAAAATTATTGGTTTAGTGGTCAGGACAGGAATGACAAAAACTCAAATGGAGTTTCAAAATTGTTAGAGCTGATACGCACAGACATAATTGATAATTTGGAGCATAAAAAAGATTGAGTTTGTGCATACATGCATTATGTAGAACTTTCATACTTTTCTTGTGTTTGGTCCAAATCAAATTAGAAAATTGAAATCAAAATTGACAGTGATGTAACATTAAAAATGTTATTAGAATAAAAGCAAAAATTCCAGATTATTGTCAATGAGACTTGTAAGATTATTGTCAATAATATTTTGTAAGAAATTTGACTACTAATGTTTTTGATGGTGCCATTTTTCTGACATGAAATGTCCAGTCTTTTTCCAATCTCTATTCCAACGCTAAAAAACAATCCATCACCTTAAAACTCCCCTTTTCAAGCCTGCTGTCAGTTTCTTCATATGAAATTGAGCCCAGTAGGGCAATAAAGTCTGGCTATCTTGAAGGATCTACCTGTATATATTGTTTGAGCGGAAAATTGAAATCGGTTTCATAGCAATGTTTTGAGCAAACCTCCTGGGATAGATCTCTCAATAAAAGTGAGATAAGAGTGCTTGTTTAGAGGGCAGGTAACTTCACAAGTGTCAGGCTTTACCAATTCTGTTCTTTGCTTCACATAAAGCATTGTACATTTTAGTCTGCTTTCAATTGGTAGACATTTGGCAACAAATTTGTACTGGTTATGGGCTTAGGCAACAGGGAGGATGTTAAAATAAAGATTTATCAAAATGAAAATAGATTGCTGGGAGGAAACCTTTGAGATAGATTCTTTTTTCTTTTCATACTATGTTTTCTTGTTGATTTGTCAATTTAGTAGCCTCTACCAGGCTTCAGAAGGTTTTAGGAATAATAGAAATTGGCCAAATACAAAAATAACATGCCAGGGGAGTTGGTCCTCTAAGGGAGTATAGTTTTGAGAATGGAAAAGTGTTCAATGGTCCAACTCCCCTGGCATGTTATCTTACTATTTGGCCAATTTTTACTCTTTGCAGTTGCTTCTAAAGCCTGGTAGAGGCTGCCAAATTCAGCACGTTTTTTTTTTAAATCTGAGAACCAACAAATTGAAGTGATGTGGCCCAGACAGCCCCTCCTTGACAGTTGCTTTATTGAGGTTGCCCTGTAGGATGTGGGCTGTGAGATTTATTACATTGAAAGACAATTGCCCTTTGAGGCATATTTTTGTATCAAATGATGGAACTTTTGATCCATGAAAGTAAAAGAAACACTTTAATGCTAAACAATAGTGCCAAGCTTAGTATTAGGATACAATTGTTGTTCAATTTTTTTCAAACCAGAAATTATTGGTTGTTCTGTTGTAGTTATTGTACATATCTGAAATAGTTTTGTTAGATATGTTTATATTTTGTATACAATGGCATTTGTACAGAGAGAAGTTACTAATAAATATGTTATCTAACAAGTTGAATTTTTGTACCTTGTTTTTTTTTTTGTGACAAGTAGTGCAGTGGTGTACAGAAACTTGACTTATGTAAAACAGATAATGAAATGAAACACGTAACTTAACTTTGGAAACTTAATTTAAAACTTTTGATCCAACACAAAGTTCTCTCACCTAGGTCAAAAGTATCTAGTAGATGATGTTTGATGTCACACTTAAAGAAGCCACCTGACAAGCTTCACTGGGTCAGTCTACTGAGGAAGACCAGGGTGACTGGTGGAAAGCTCTAGGTGAGAGAACTTTATTGTGTTGGATTGTTGGATCAAAAGTTACAACTACCAACACAGATGAACTTTCATGAAAGTTTAGAAGGATGAATTTGTGTATGTTTGTGCATCGTGTGTGAGTGAGTGTATGTGTGATCACCCGCGCGTTTTTTTCCTGGGTGTACATGCATCTAGAAACCGGACTGTCCTAAAACGTCACCTTCCCCCACGCAACATCTGCTTGGAGTTCGATCTCCACTTTCTAGCAGACGACCGGAAGCGGCGCTGTGCATGGTGGGATGGAGGGGCCTGGTATTTCCGGTGACGTCACGGCGCAGTGCCGGGTTCACGGGGACTACCGACCATTTGTCCACTTCCATGTTGTAAAAAAAAAAAAAAGAGATTTTCCTTCCCTTTCTGACGCCTTCCAGCTCCGGAAAATTCCAGGATCGGTCCCGGATTGCGTCTCCTAGCTCCCGATCGTGTGGTCCAGGCGACTGGGACGGAAAAAGGGTGAGTAGCGGGGTAGAGTCGGGGAGGGGAAAGGGGGTGTGCTTCGCCCGAACACGCTCAAAGAGGGGAGGGGTACTAGACACAGCTGTACAGCCCCTATATTATATATACCGTGTTTCAGCTTTTTCTACACTCCCTGTCCTTAAGTAGCATTTTCTAAACTAGCGGGACGCAGTGTTCCTATATAGGATAGCCTGGCTGAAATTTCTCCTCGTTAGCTTGAACACAAAGGGAGAGAAAATATCATAATAATATCGCCTGGACGGCTCAGCTGAGAAAATGATGTACACACACAGGGGACTGCCTTTTTGCCAAACATGTAGACAGCCGTCCGGCGCTGTGGCGATGCTCTGACCATTTTAGGAGGAACGGAAAATTTTCCCAGCGATTTTAGGTTTGTGCGGCCGATAGGAGACTGGTTATAAAATACCAAGGATGTTTGGTAGGGTTATAGCGAAGGCGTGTGCCCGCCGGTTGAATTGACAGCCCCCAAGAAAATGGCCCCACAAATGTACAAATGTCCGATGCTATTTTTAGCCGGTGTACACTAGCGATCATCTCCCTACGGACAACGCTAGAAATTATAACGGGAAAAAAAACGCTGCAATATTTCCAGAATAATACGGCTATCCTTTCTGCTACGGATCGTTTGGTACGGCTTTTAGTTTATGAAATGGAAAGGTCTTTCCTTTTAACAAGGAAGTGATGAAATTGACATAAACAAAACAATGTATTGTTCGTGCTTGTTGGAAGGTATTGTTCCAATCTAATTAAGCGTATTTACCTAATCTCTGTATCTAAATCAATAAGTTCTGGCTTTGCAATAGCTCAATGTAAATTTGATTTTTACTTGATAAATGAGTAAAGCATATTTGTTTTATTATTACATTAGTTATGATAATATTTGTTTTGCTTTGAATAAAATGTACTGTATATTAGGTATGTTTTAATATTAATTCTTTTATATAAACTTGAAATGAATTGAATGTTGATGTTTACAATGAATGAAGGGGAAAGTTGTTTATTTTCTTTTGAACTTAATGCGCTAAATTCTACCGTGACTGTTTCCATATATTCTCCATTGATACGCTTGTCATCAATTTAAAGGTTGGTTGGTCTGATTTTCTTTACCATTTTATACCAACATATAAATCATCTTTGAAATTGAGGAACGTCCCAAATAGATTTGAAAAAAAAGTAAAAGTACCTGTTTTGAAATGAAATGAAATTTTGTGCAGACCTTTAGAAATAATGAGTGTGAGAAATGTTTACATTTTCCCATTGTGCTGATTAGAAAGGCCTCAGATCAAATTTCTTAAATGGCCTACTTGTGAAATTTCACTTTATTCCCAAAGGTATAATTTTGGGTCTTTGTTTGCCAAAGGTGATTCATTAAGGGACCAAAATGTAAACAATTTGATTTTGTAAATAAACCGAAACCAGAAGAGTTTGAACCTTACCAGAATAAAATAATAGTATGTTATTTTTTCTAGATGTGTAGCCTGAATATTGTAAAATACATATGCACCATCAAAACATGCCTAACATCATTATCTTTTACATGTTACTGTATATACATATTTGGGACAACTTTCTTTACTGTTAGAAATCATGATTTTGATGCATTCACAAGTGTAATTTTGTTCTTGTATTATTTTTGAAAGGAAGGCTTATATATCTCTTGAATGTAACGCTTTTGCCAACTCATGTTACTTACAGTAGTGTAAAATCACAATGTAGCACAACATAAATGTACTTGTAGATAAACATAGAGGTATGTGTACATAGTATACAAGCTTAAACAATCATTTAACAGGCATTCGTGCAATTGCTATCAACACCGTACCAAGGAACAGAACATTTTGAAAACATGGCATTTTTTCTCGGAAAAAGGGTTGCAAACGATTCGAAGAATTTGACGCTCATTCTGTACCTTGGAAACAATACCGATGTTGTTGCAAATTTATATTTTAGGGGCCATACTGATTTTATTATATGGATGCCATAAGGTCAGTTTTATTTCATATATTTTTTTTGTCCTATCACTTCATATTTTTTCTGAAAAAAATCTGAGAACCAACAAATCAAATTGGTGTGGCCTTACGTAGATACATATCATACTGGGTAGTCTTGGGCCTTCACACAAGAGGGCCTGCATGCCTTTTTTCATGAGGCGTAATCAGGCCTTTTTACTAAAATTTTAGTCTCCGTAATCCGTAGGCAGCCTCCCCAAAAGTCAACGTAATTCATAATAGTACATTAGCCTCAACGCGTAAAGTCATAATCAGCTCTGAAACTTTAACGTGATTTGTAATCGGCGGCGAAAAGTTTACCCCCCCCCCCATGCAGGCCCTCACACAACACTGTAAGGCTTTATGCCCTCATTTGCCTATGAATTGCACAGTTTCCATGGAGACCACTTTAAAAGAAGGTATGCATAACATGCCCATTTAGAACGCGGAAGGGCTAGAAAGGGATTGTGCCACGGAGCATTTGAATGGACACAATTATGACAGGGTTAGGGCACAAGGACAGCTTTTGTGTGCAGAGGTTAATGTGATTTCGTCAATACAGAACCTTTTTTTATTTATACATGTCCTGCATATTAATATTTCATTCACACATGTATGGGAATAATAAACCTATGTTATGTCTTATAAGTTATGATATAAGTTAAACAATTTGTAAGTAATAAACTAATATATTGATCTATTAATATTATGTCTAACCTTCATTGACATATCTAGGCATGTTATAGGTCATATGACTTAAGTTATGGATTGTTTAACATGATCGAGGTAATTGGGATACACAAAAAACTTTTACTCAAGCAACTAAAATCTATTCAGTTCTTTAGTAGCATCCGTATCAAGCTTATAGAACTGGGGGTTAGGTGGTCTTCGGCTGTTTTCTGATTAGCCCAGTTCAACCAGGCGGGCTATGTTGTCTATATGCAATCAGAAAATAGCACATAAAAGCTCCCAAAGACCCTGAAGACCCCCCCCCAAACCCCCAGTTTTTGGCATGCTATGGAGGCTGTGTCTTTATTTAGTACGTTTTCTTGTGTATTACATGCATTGAGGCTGATATTGGCATGCACTGTAGGTTTCTTACTTATTTTGGCCCTGTATTAGTGTAACTTGGCAGTTGAGCCATGTTTGAGCAAACCAGTGAAATGACTTGCAGTGGTGTGTAACACTTGGCATGTTCTACTAAAGCACAGGTGGTATAAAAAGACCTGGACCCAGAACACCACCTGCCTATGCAGCTAAATTACCGTAAAATTACAGCTGTGCAGGTAATTTTCCTGTACTTTAGTCGTTACCAGTACTAGTGGTATCCAGAAAAAAAATCTTCCGAGTCCTGAACATTATGGATTTGACCTCGTCGGGTAACTCTATTTAAGATTGCAGATAGAGTATTGGCAAAAAGGTGAAAAGAAAAAAAGAGATCCATGCATTGATTCCTACATAAAACTCTAGTGGTGTATGAAAATTGTGGAAATTTTGTTATTTCTCATCTATACATATTACTACATTAGTTATTCTTCCCTTGAGCAAGATTTCGTGAATAGGATAACATGAAAAAAAGGGAGATCCATGCATTGATTCCTACATAAAACTCTAATGGTGTATGAAAATTGTGGAAATTTTGTTATTTCTCCTCTATACATATTACTACAGTAGATTTGACTTCTTCAGTTGATTCTATTTAAGATCATAGAGTATTGGCAAAAAAGGTGGAAAAAAGATTCATTCATTGAGTCCTACATAAAACTCTAGTGGTGTTTGAAAAATTGTAGAAATTTTGTTATTTCTCATCTATACATATTACTATATTAGTTATTCTTCCCTTGAGCAAGATTTCGTGAATAGAATAACCCGTTTTTTATAGGCCCCAGGAAATTTGATTTTGTCTGAGCCAGGCCAGTCAGAAATACGGTTAATTTTGCTGGAAGCTGGGAGTTATTAGATACAAATTTGCTGGTCCAGTCGTTATGTAATACTGACTTATCGATCATGTCTTTGATTGGATTGGTTTAATGCATGTGGACCAAATAATTGTCCTGTACTCATCCATTGTCAATGTCAATCAGGCCTCGAAATTCATTTTTGGGAATAGGTGCACACCAAAATTTTGGGGTGCACCATATGAAACAAAACCAAAACAGATCTTACTGCTCCTCTAATGAGCTTGAATCTGAAATGGTAGCTAACTTCAAAATCTTAAACAAGAACCAACATTTTATTAATTTTCTGACGCCTGGATGCCAAGAATATCCTGTATACTATTATTTAATACGTACAAAAATACCTACAAAAATATTTGGGTGCACTGGTGCACCAACAAAAAAAAATTGGGTGCACAGCTCCAATTTTGGGTGCACTCTATGATCTGCTTGGAGATTATACCAAAGCAAGGGGTTGACTTTTGGTCGGCAACCTTTCTGCAACCCAACCAGATGAGAAATGGACAGTCCCCAGCTCCCATCTGTGTTGGTCTGTAATCCCCCCCCCCTCCCACTGGACACCCCCCAAATCTATTTATGGCTTGTGTAATTGGGCGGGACATTTCACATCAGAATTTGGATAGTGTTTCATGTGACGGTTGATGCCAGGAGAGATACCAGTTTCTTTCATGTTTATCTCTGTCGTATTCCTTATTTGTGAATCTCAAGACCAGCTCAGGCCAGCATTTTGGCAGAATGTACTGCACATGAGTGAAACACATAATGTACAATGTATTGTGCATTAACACTTCAGCAGAATGTCTTGTTTTAGGTCAAGAATGTCTTGTTTTAGGGTAAGAATGACATTCCGTGTATAGTTCTCAAATCGTCGTAAAATATATTGTATGCAAAGGGCAAAGAAAGGTGTTACTACTCTTAGTTTAATGACTTTTCTTAAATGTTTTAAGTTACATGTACCAAGGACACACTGTATAATGTCCTTGCATTATTACTTTAAAATGCATTTTGTTTCATTGGGACAAAAATTGAAACTAAACAGTCTTCATCATGCCAACATTCTTCAGATGGTCTATAGTATAAATGAATCATCTAATGGAACCAAGGAGGTACCAGGGATAAGAGTTCTGACTGAGGACAATGCCCACCTGAGTCATGTGTTCCTAGAAACTAACAGGAAGTGACTGCAGGCATGGGCATGTATGAATGTGGAAGCCTTTTTATAATATAAGCGTCCTCACAGATTCACAGAGGCTCTTGAAGGGGTTATGAATATCAGCAACATGATTGTTTGAGTGTTATATAATTTTCAAGGGCAGGCTCCTCTTTACTTTAGTAATTTCTAAGGTCATCTGTTGTTGATTCTGTACCATTAAATACGGCGGAAGCTTAAGGTCCGGAAGTCCCATGCTAGGGAGTACATGTGGAAAGCTAACTTTGCAGCTGCACCTCTTGATATATTGTGTGTTACCTTTCAATTAGCCTCCGGGCATGAGTTTGCAAATAAAACTCTCTGTTGATAAAACAGAGCTCCGGCCGGACAATGCAATCGTCTGTCAGAGAAAGCGAAAAAAAGCCGGCGGATGGAAAGTAATTGACACACGCTGCCCCTATTTATAATTCATGGGCAGGACAAGTCTCCTTGTGTAAAGGTGAATCAGACCATTAAAGGCATATCCTCTGTGCACTTTCCTAACATAATGGATGGTATATCAACCAATGTGGAGTAAACATATAGCTCATGGTTGGTGAGGCAGGGCTCGAAATTCATTATTGGGAACAGGTGCACTGGTGTACGCAACCTAAAAAATTGGATGCTCAAAATTTTTTGGGGGCGTACCATATAACATAAAATAAGTAGAATTATGTTTTATTTCTGAAAAAAGTACTTATAACAATTATTTTTTAATCATTTTTCTGACACTTTAATATACGATAAGAATACGCTGTATACTTCTATACATTTTACATCCTTACATACATAAACCTACGAAAATACGTGCACCCACAGAACAAAATTGGGTGCACTGTGAGCTCCGAACTTGGGTACACGTGATGATGTCATCCAAGGATACACATGTACCCATTATTTTGAGCCTGTGAGGGGCACATTCAGACTCTAGCCATTCTTACTTCATAATCCTGACAGCATGTGAGAGCCTCAGTAAATCTTTTTTATATGTATTTTGTCCCCAATGTGTTTGATAATAATATTTATGATCCTGTTCCACTGTTTTAACGTAATTATTTACACACTGTTTTGACTGTTGTGAGCAAAACATAGCTCATGCTTTGGTAACACACGTATTGGGCATATTTAGAGATACATATCATTTTGCTAAATTCCTATCATGCGAGCTATTTTGTAAATTTCATATTTATATCCTGTTCCTGATTGATTCTGTGTTTATTCCTTGTCTGCTTTGAAGCAAAAAGGTCAAAGGATCATGGTTATAACATTAAGAAAGGGAATTTATTTATTACCAAGAAATTGCCAGTATGCTATGAATACAAAGATAGTCAAACGTGACAAGTGGCCACCTCTTGAAGCTGTCCACCAGACACAACAACTGCATTTTCCTGGTCCCTCAATTTTTCATAGGCACAAGCACTGAGCACCTGTCCAAAAAGACCACTTTACCGTAGTCCCTTGGGTTACCTTCTTTGGTAGGTTTGACTGTATGTATTGTATAGATTCAGGGTTTTACTTGTTTGCCTTGCCTTTTCTGTATCTGTATATCGTTGTAACGGGGGGGTGGGGGTGTTATAGGCGCTACCAGCTGATGGGTCTAGACCCTTTAGCCGAATCGTAGCAGCGTCGGCATTTGAAGCTGGTGGGTTTGGTCGTGGGTTCGATCCCCGGCCTGGAACCAGGAGTGTCTTTCTGTTTCTACTCTCCTTACATGTTTGCAGGCACCGCAGCAGATAGTTATATGCTACTGAACAACCTGTTATATATACACCTAACCTATGCACATCTAGCTTAGTGTTCTTTAAAACTAGCTAGTGATAATGCCCCTACTATACTGTACTTGGTAGCAGCAAGTTTGGGTCAATGATAGTTATACTATAGGAAAAAACAAATTCCTTGAAATGACAGAAAGGAAAGTAGCCTAGAAAAGTAGAATAACAACAATTATTATTACTTTCTCCTTTTATGCAGGTATTGTCTAAGGAGTACAGAGAAACACCACAAGGAGCTGAACAGCAAAACCTTCGCTGCTGCAATCTTCACATGTAAGTCTTCTCTGTTAATATATTAATTTGTTATATAACGTTATACATAATGCTGAGGGCTGTCTTGAATCCAGTGTAACATTCTTATAATTGATGCTTGGCCAAGATTTGTCAGCCAAACACACCAACTTTTGTATTATCTGTATATCACACCTAACATCGCATGTATTGGTCAAACATTACCCGTGCAATCGCAGCCTTTTGTAGCGTTGAATTGTTGCAGGGTTTACAATCACATAATACACTTGATAGATGTATCATTTGCTCCACACATGTTTGTGGAACTGTCGGAAGGGTCTATGCAGCTGCCATTCAGCGCCACCAGGTGACCTCAGTACGACTGTATGTATCTAGCTGCAAGCATTGTTCAAAGTTATCTAGGTTGCCTCTACTGTACTCGGTAGCTCCACGATACTTCTAGGAAAAGGAAAAAACAAATCGCTTCGTCTTGTAACATGTGCCATATTGTGTCCACTGCGGCCCCTCTTTTTTGCCGATTGCTACAATCCGTATTCCCGAAGGCTAGTGTCTAGCTGCAAGCAGTGTTGAAAGCTGTCTACTCTAGGATGCCTTGACTAGACGACGATAGTCCAGGGAAAGGAAAAGCAAATTGTGTGTCTCCCTGGTACTCACTCACTCACTCACTCACTCACTCACATGTCTGGTTTATCTATCATTTAAAACAGAGGAAGAACATTTAACATTACAAAATCTGTCCCTAAATAAGCAGGAAATAGTGTCTTGGGGTTATGAGTTTTTGGGTGAATACTAGACACCTGCTGTGGCCTTGTTTTTGTGCGGCTTGTGCCACAGAAACGTACCCTTCTGTACCTGACCCTTACACTGTGAAAAAACCCTGGTGAGAACCCTGGATGATCTATAGCAGGTGCCAGGCAGATGCCCATTTATCTGACAAACCTGCTCTCAGAAAATCCTGGAGTTCTGTCCTTCAGGGGAACGTGTAGCCAGATTACTGCGCAGGCCTTTTAAAGGTGAGTTATGCTGGCCGTTCTCCTGGTCTGGACTGTACAGGATCAGGCATCTTGCCTTGATGTATGTGACTGTATATAATGTTTGTGAAAAAAGTACCACACAAAGATATGCTGGTGGTTACTGACAGCCTATCCTATACATGTCTCAAAGCGGACCTTTCGGTGGCTGCAAAAGACAAATTGGCCAGACAGTATCCTTTGGCCACTTTGGTGGCTAATGGACACTCCTCTGACCAATGGATACTGCCTTGCCACCGTATGATCTGCTTGGAGATGGCTAATGGACACTCCTCTGGCCAATGGATACTGCCTTGCCACCGTATGATCTGCTTGGAGATGGCTAATGGACACTCCTCTGGCCAATGGATACTGCCTTGCCACCGTATGATCTGCTTGGAGATGGCTAATGGACACTCCTCTGGCCAATGGATACTGCCTTGCCACCGTATGATCTGCTTGGAGATGGCTAATGGACACTCCTCTGACCAATGGATACTGCCTTGCCACCGTATGATCTGCTTGGAGATTAGACCTTGCCCCAGTTCCTGTAATACTGAGTATATAGAGTAATGCCAAAAAACAGTTACTCAAGCAACTGGATATGATTTTGAAAACGTCAGACGTTTCAGCTAGTATCCACTAGCTTTCGTCAGTGACTGAGAGACCAGAGGGGAAAGCAGGTTTATATACACAACCTGTTGATTGATATGCAAATAAAGTGAAGACAAATTTTTGGAAGTCGAAAAAGGAACAAAAGTCAGACAAGTCAAGACAAGATGATGCAAATTAGTCTGAAAGCTCCTGTTATACAGGACAGGAGCTTAAGTGTTGTCTGTCCTCGGGGCTGGGAGTGCCAAATCCCAAGTGCCGGAAAGATCGACCCGTAGCCCCCCTTCCCTGTTGAGGGTGGGGTTGTACATTCTTTCATATATTGCCTCTTTAACACCCCGTTCCCACCAGCGTGTTTCGCGGTCTAAGACATCCGTGGACTCGAGTTTGAAAGAGTGACCCTGGTTGTGTTGTAGGTGGTGGAAAATAGCTGAGGAGTAGCCGTTGGCACTAGGTCGGCAATGTTCTTTGTACCTTACTTTAAGCGGTCGACTTGTCTCTCCGATGTAGGTGTTGTTACAATTGGGCTCCTCACATTTGAGTCTGTAAATAACATTCGCCTTGGTACCCTTGTGAGGTCGGTCCTTAGGGTGTACCAGTCTTTGTCTGAGGGTTGAGTGAGGTTTGAAGTTAGTGGCTATGTTGAAGTTTTGGAAGATCCGTCGGAGTTTCTCAGATACTCCTTGGACATACGGAATAGTGATGTAGGCCTTGTTTTTGTTGGTCAATGGTTTGCACTTCTGGGTTTTCTTAGACTGATCTGAAGGTTTGAGCGCTTTGTTGAAAGTCCAGTTTTGGTAGCCACATTTAGCCAGGGCACCTCGGAGGTGTCTATGTTCGTCCGTTTTGGCTTGGTCTGAAGTGACAATGTTGTCTGTAATGACTCACTGGAGTGTAAGTATATAGAGTAATGACTCACTGGAGTGTAAGTAAGAGGGCAGTGAACCCGCTGACATCACTCCTTCTTCTCAACATCCTTGAAGGCAGCTCTTCTTTCCAATTAGCCTCACTGCGATTCATAAGGAATGGTATAAATGTAAATGGCACAGAAAAACAGTTCAACTTAAAGCTAGTTCAGCTCTTCTTAATCATTATTGTCATTCCAGTAAGATCTGATAGTGATACTGTGTAAGGATATTATGGGTTAGGATGACATCATTGCCATCGCTATGAGATGGGGTGAGTGTCCTTTAGGGCACATTCTCTCTGAATGTGTGTGATGCAGTTTTTCAGATATATATATATATATATTTGCCGTGCAAGGCAAGACACCTTAGCTTGCATATAATTGTTACACTTACAGTATATATTAAGAAGAAAGATATAGCACAATGGAATTATGGGATGAGTTGAGTGCCCTCTAGAGCACATTGAGTGATGAGTGTGATGGTGCTATACATGTTCAGTTTATAATTATCATAAATACAATACATTCAAAAATACAGGAGTGAATATTAAAAAAGGTGTTTATCAACATTATGATAAATTTTAGTTTGTAGGTTTCTAGATTAAGGTAATAACCGATTTAATAATAGTTGGTTCGTTGATTTAAAAACTATGCTTATAGTATTAGCTGTGAAAACCCAATGAAAACAAAGCCTGGCTTATACCTTAGTGCACTCAGTTTTATGGAGTTAATACAGTGACTATTCAAGTTTTATTGAAGCTACGTGTACTTTCATTTGTATGTGTGAGAGACTGGCCTGGATAAGCTTGATTAGTGTGTTCCTACTTTTGCCTAATCCTTAGAAAACATATTCAATCATTTGCCAACCTGATGAAATTATTTACGGCAGAATGTTGTTTGTTTTGCCTCCCTGAAATCGCATTGGATGCCTTTAAATGTAGTAACTGTATATATAAGATTGATGACTGGCTGCCATGTTAAGAGACTTGCTGGCAATTGCAGATGTTCAGTTTGTCCCAGGGAGATGGGAATTGGATCCTACTAGTAACCATTTTCCATCACAAATTTACGGAAGCTCCACGACTCAAGAACTCGGTGTGGCCTAACAGTGCAGAAGATGGATGTTTCCCTGCCATGTTGGGAGCCTTGCTGGCAGTTGCAGATGTTGTGTGAGTCCCAGATGAGAGGTACACCCTACAAAGTAAGAAACAAAACATTAAATCAGAGCCATTTCTTGTCCCCTCTCTTTATAGTTATCTGCCATCCACCTTCCGGCATGGTAATAGACATCTTTACCCATTTTCAGCATATTGACCACTGTCAGAGGGCAACAAAATGTCATGTTTTTTTTGGCCAAAATCAGCCGAAATTTAATGTGCGCGCAGATGTCATCCATAAAATATACTTGCTGTGGCTTAAGGCCTAACAGTGCAGAAGATGGATGTTTGCCTGCCATGTTCAGAGCCTTGCTGGCAGATGCAGATGTTGTGTGAGTCCCATGGATATGAGGAGTGGACAGAGATGCATGTGTACCAGACTGCAGGATCACTGGCTAATGGCTCCTGCCTCTCGTGGCTTGCTGGGCACACTAGATGCAACAACTTGGTTCACATCAATTTTATGTATTTATTTTGGCTTGCAAAGAAGCCAGGGTGTCCCAACTAGTCAAAGTATTATTAAGGGACACCCTGGGGAAAAAGATGAAAATCGTTAGACATGCATCAATTCTTACTTGTGGGTTACTGGGCATGCTAGATGCAACAACTTGGTTCTCACTTACTCTCATTCACTATGGAAACCAGTTTCATTTTTTGTTCTCTGATTTCCCCAAAATATTAGATACAGTGTAGGTACCGGCTTGAGCAGGTTTGACTGTATATGTGACCTGTCCTTAGTGCTGATTGCCTTCCCTTCACATTATTACAATAGTACATGTATCTGTATCTCTGTGTTAATGCAGAGATGTTGCATTGGAGATACATGTACATGTACTACACAGCTTTATCCAGCAGTTATATTCCTAAACCTTGCCATACAAAAAGCAGTAAGCAAATTATATTTATAAACAAATATTGGAAACCTAACAAACATGAAAAGCTTTAGAAAATTATAACAAGGCAATGTTCAAGAGTTAAAAAAAACATTACAGAAGGTGAATGCTGGCAACTCAACAATGTCAACAATTGGAGGCGTCACTACCTGAAACCTGTATATGACTGTCTCTTGTCACGTGATTATCCTATCAAGTCATGTGACAAGAGAACTCCAAGACGAGATCTTAACCAGGTTGAAGAGGAGACGGAGTGCGTCTTGAAAGCTCCCCAGTGTAGCTGAACTTTAGTTGTGTGTTTTGGTACAAATATTTGTCAAAATAATGCCAACAATTTAACATAATAAGTTATGTTACCACGGATCCATTTCATCCATTGTATACAATATGTCCCACATCTAGGGACAGCTCCCCTGCTGACCCCTGACCCTTGCCCTTGGCT